ACACGGGAACCAAAAAACCCGAAGCGTTCTCCCAACAAGCACTGCATGACCTAACCCTAGTTGGGGAGAGGAGTCCAACCCTAATCCTATGTCCCAAAAGGGAGGGGCTTAGGGTACCAACAACTCGCTCTCCTGTTTTCAGCGGTGCTGCTCTGGGCGAAAGAGTGGAATGCTTCGTGGGAAAGGCTGGGCAAGATCCCACGAGCATGTAAGGCCATCACACCCCCACTTCCGGGGCCCAGGGCAGACCGGTGAATGCATCAGGCCTCTCTACCCCCACCGCGGGCGGTCTGGCTGGTGCCCGGGGCACTAGGCTGAATGCGTCCGAGGGCCATAGGCTGACCTCGTGCTCCGACCGTGCTAGGTCTTGCAGATGGACGTGGAATCTCTTGGATTTGGTCGTGCCGGTGAACTTCTGTAGGCGGTTTCGGCTGAGGTCATCCGCGTCCGTGTTTTTTACCCCCGGTATGTGGCCCACTTCTAGGCTTAGACCCTTAGCGTGGGCCCAAGAGGCCACCTTCTGCAGGAAGAGGCAGAGGGGAAAGGCTGTGGTAAACAGCTTATTGACTGAAGCTTGTGTGGGGCTGTTGTCACTGAGAGTGGGCAAGCAAAAGCGAAGGCTGGAGCAACCGGTGGCCGCGTAGGCCATCTGCAATAGGACCCACTGGGCGATTGTTTCGAAGCAGGCAATATATTGCTGGGCGTCCTTCGTGAGGAAAGAGTAGATCTCGTAGCTCCAGGATGGGGCTCGGCGGGGCCCATGTGCGCATCCATTGTAGTAGGCAAGCCAGAGGCTCCAAGAGGAGTGTGCATCACCGATTCAGGCGTGGAGATCTGTGCAGTAGTAGGCGCTGTGCGGGTCCTGAAGCGGACCGGAGGGGTGGTGTCCTCTGGGCCTGGTTCGTAGCCAGAACAAGGCGTGGTGTAGTCGTCTTGGGCAGGTTGTGCAAACAGGGCCAGTCTGCCCTCATGCAAGTAGACCAGATCATCCCAAGTGAGGACGTAGTCGTAGCGTCCGCCATCTGAAGAGCTGCGAACTTCTGTGCGGATGGGCATGTTTGCACGGTAGGCCATGGCTGGGCGTGCAAGCTACAAAAACACCAGGATTACGAGGCCTGGAGGCTCTAGAAAGAACTAAGAGCGTAGAAGGCCTTGACCGAAAAGCCGAAAAGCAGAAAGCCCCACCTAGGGGTTAGGTCAAGGCCAGCTGTGAGCCGGAGATGCTCCAGCTGTGCAAGGCTTGTTTAGGCGTAATGCGAATAGCGGTGCATGATTCACTTGTGGGAAAACACACGGGAACCAAAAAACCCGAAGCGGCCCTAAACTCCCTGAGTCTCTAAACGTTTTGAGGCCCCTAAGCTCTCTTAAAGTTTCTAAGCTTCTCGAGGCCCCTAAACTCCCTTAAAGTCTCTGAGCATTTTGAGGCCCTTCAACCATGCTTTGAGTTGTTGGTGTTTAGCTTGCAGGGTCCAACCCTGCAGGCTCATTGCTTCTTCGACTTAAAACGGTTCGAACCGTTCGTCGGTTTTGTAGCGGAAGACACGAGGCGTTTCAGTGTGAAAAACGCAGAGCTCTTTTTCACTCCACGCTTGAGCCAAAACACACGAGGTGTTCGGCAAGTCTCTCGCAGAGTCAGCGCAGCTTCACTTTCGTAAATTCCATCTCAACTTTGTTTAACAAAGGAGGAACACATGCAAACGTCTTAGTGCTTCTCAGAACTTCAGTGCTTCAGAAAAACAAACACAAACACTCCAGTGCACAGCCACTCTGCTCGGACCTAGTACGACGACACCAGCAAAGCGAGAGTCGGCAATCCAGGTCTGAAAAGCAAACTCAGAGCAACACGCACTTCTTCAAGGATGCCCTAAAGCGTCTCCAGTGCTTCTCTGCTCATCATGCACACTTCAAGCAACTCAAAACAAGCTAAAAGCAATGCCAGGCAAATGTTTGTTCTTCTCAAAGCCTGAGCCATGTCTGTGGCAGGACTCCGGTATAACCCGGATGAAACATATGGAATGCCACTTGAAAAAGTCCGCCTCCTACTTCCGGGACTGGAAATTCAGGACTGTAGTACCGCGAACGCATGAAACGCAAGATGATCAAAGATCTGCGATTGCCCGTATGCCGAGTCGACGAGCAGAAGCCCGACATATCTCCCTGCACCTCTAGCCTTTACCCCCGAACCCCAAACTCATCCAAATTCACTCTGACAGGTCGATTAGGATGCCACGGGAACTCGAACAACCCAGACGCACAGCGGCACCCCAGTCTGAGCTTGACAAAGCCATGGTGGGGAAATTGCTGTTACTTCTTTCCCAGCTATCACTTGTCAACAAAGATGCAGCGACACCAGTGGCACCCATAGTATTATGCGGCCCGTATCAGTGCAGTAACTTCGTCTTTACTGCAAAATTGCACAGTTTTTTCGTATTCTGAAGATATCGTTTGAACCATGTACCACCCGACCCTGTTCAGCTGAAGTCGCCGTCCGCAAACAGAAAGGCACGCAAGCATGCCATGTAACAGGACGTGTCCCATGGAGCCCGTTGCATAGCGCAACCCCTTGACATTACGTGAGCAGAGATCAAGAACAGATAATGGCCGCCCAACGTGCTGCTGCGCTCCTAGAAGATGCAGGACCTGTATGGTGCTGCAGCAGCCGGAAGCGAAACGGTGACAAGGCAATAGTTGGTGCAAGACCATGGGTTGCGAGCTAGAGAAGTGAGGGAGCAGCCCTTGGAGGGAGACTCGGACTCTTTGCTGGCTGCACTCCCTCAGCTTGGAGATGAGCAGCTTTCAATCTAGCGTGTTCCAGGCAGACGATGGCGGGAGGACCTTGGAAAGTTCTACGCCACCTGAAGGAGGCCACTACGGCAGAGGCGCGGAGCAGTTTTTGGAGCAATCCATAAGCGGGAGTTTGCCATGGCTACAGCTGGCACTGGAACGAATCGACAGGCGATGGTGAGTTGGTGCAAGGCATGGTTTGGGTTGGGTCACCAAAGGGCCTTTTACCGCCAGAAGAGCTTCCAGCTGCTGATTGGAGAACGATGACTCCTCCTCCTCCGCTGGTGTCAAGGCCGGAAGGAGTTGGAGCGCTGTTCAGATCAAGTGCAGAGGATGCGAACGATGTAGCGGGAAGCTTAAGCGGAGGTGCAGCGTCAACTTCGGGCCGTCATGGCGGTTCAGACTTTGAGAAGGGAAAGTAGGAGGGAGATGGACGTGGCACCGGTTCTGTCCGAAATCTTGCAGGCTGGACCTACTCCACCCACAGCTTCTACTTACTGCTACACCACAAGGCAGAAGCCCAGTAACTGAGAGCTTAGTTGACGCAAGCAAGTTTGCGGTCTTGGCTCCAACCTGAGTGGGTGACTGCCCTTCTAGCTCGAGTAAGGCGTTCAGGTAAGCTGCTAGTAAAAAGCAGAACGCAAACTTCTCCAGAAGGCCCAGAAGTGATTAGGCCTCTGCCGGAACCTTCGCCAGAAGGCCCAGAAGGATGTGAGGAACTATGCTTCAGCCTTCTCCAGCAAGCAGAAGTGACTCGCCTGGCACTTTGCTGTGGGTTTCGCATCAGGGGTAAACCTGCTTGAAGTGCTCTCCACAAAAAACCGCTGCGCGGGGCTTCAAGTTACAAGGCGCCTTGACTCTCACACTTGACGGTTGGCTGCAGACCGAAGCAGCCTTGGAGGCCTTAAACTGCACCAGGTTAAGCATGCCAAGCCGATAGGCTCCCGGTACCTGGGAAGCACATGAGCCATGCTTTTTCTTGCGCAGTCTCAAAAATCGGCCGCTGCGCGGAGCTGTAAGAATATGACCTCTTGCAAGCAGCGCTTAAAGCCCGCCCTATGGCCATGAGGTCGAGCCTTAAAACTTTCGGCGCAAACACAAGGAGCCTCCAAAGTACTCCCCTAATAGCTATGTGAGGACGCCCGGACTCACACAGCGCCGACGGAGCATTGTGTAGCTACACCAGCCCTTGCCGCCCCCGCTCGCCGAGGGGGGAGGAGGCGCCTTTTCTTGCACTCTGTTTGCATTGTGCCTTTGTGCGCGTTCGTACCTTTCTTTCAGTATGCAATTTTCCAACCCAAAAGGGAGTCCTGAGTAAAGGGAGTCCTGAGTGCTATTGCGACGGCCCTGGCGCTTGTGTGGGGACTTGTCTCCACGGATGCGGAGCAGTTTAGGTGACGGAGGTTCCTTGCCTAAAGCCGACCCATACTTTCGCTTAATGTCTGTACTAGACGTGGCGCAGCATTGCTGTGGGTGACGGGCTGCTGAGTGATTGGTGCCGGTAGGTTCTTGTTTGCATTGGTCTCACCTCGCTGGGCTTGCGTTAAGTTGTCTTGCAATAAGGGCCTCTGCGCTAGCGGTTGCTTCTTTGTAGTCACGACTTCTTTTTCACTCGCTGGATTGTGCCGGTTGGCTCTCAAAGTAGTTGTCCTTGTCTCACACCTAGTTACCTAGTTGTGAGAGCCGGACGCGGCGTCGCGCGCGGTTAACTTTAACCGCTCAAAACGCCGCGCCGCCCGCAGGGCGGCGCGGCGTCAGCCGCGCCGCTCGAGGCGCCGCGACCTTTTGTAAGGGGCCTCGCAGCAAGAGCGGTCCGCCGCTCGAGGCGTCACGTCTTCAAAGGAGGCGTACGCAGCCTAACAAACCGGCACCCACAGTCCGCAAGTGGAAATGCGGCCACCAACACGCCGCTCCAAGGCAGCAATTCCAGGCCACGCCGCTCGATGTGTTACACCCTTAAAGAAGCTGTCCCCTGGCCTAGCAAACCCACCCATCAAGCTGACAAGCCACCCACAACTGTGTCTACGGAAACACAAGGCAACACAAGACCAAACACTGCCAAACAACCACGTCAAAAACGAAGCCTTGATCTGAACCGACCTGACTTGGATTCCCCCACAGCCTCACCATGCACCGGAATCGACTCCAAAAACGCACGGCTCTTTTTGTACGCGCAAAACTCTGGCAAACTTCTAACAGCTTCTGCTTTCTGCTAGCTAGTTCAAGACTCTGATCCCTTTGTTGTCAAAAATAAGCTCTTCTTCTTCGGGATCGAAAAGTTCGCTTTGAACGTCCTCGCCTTCCGAATACACTGGCTCGTGCTCTTCATCACAGGAAAGTGAAAGCGGCTGAGGCGATTCTTCTGCAGGAGGCACCAAAACAGCAGGAACCTCCTCTGCAGATTTCGTTTCAGGGGCAGTGGAAGGCTTTGCCTTTCCCTTTCCAAAACTAGCCAAGCTTGGCCACGTTACGGAGCCAACGGAAGCACGTTCAAGCTTGCGCATTTCCGCAAAGACTTGAAAAGCATCCGTAAAGGAAAACCAATGCAAAAACTGAAAGGTGCGCACTCGCTCATGAAGTTGTGTCTCCATTGCCTCAGCCGTAGCAGGAGAAGGCCCCGTGGTGTTGATGGGACGCTTGCCGACCTCTCTTCGAAAGGTTGCAAAGAACCCATCCAACTTTTGGGTGCCCCCAACCCTGATCTCTTCCACCCATTGTCGCCCATCAAAGATCTTGAGCTTGAACTTTCGAGTGAACTCTGGCAGTTTCAAATGAGCAAAAGAAGGTCCTCCTAAGGCTCCATTGTACAAACATGGCAATGGCTCTTCAGAGTCCAGCTTCTTGTACACCTTTGCACTGTCTGTGTGACAGACGCTGCCAACGGCGATTCGGCTGGCTCCTGCGGAATTCACGATCGTATCCTTCAGCTCCTGGATGCTCAAAGGGCCTCCTCCACCTTGTCCGGAAGCCGTCAACTTGTCCGGGAGCTTGTGAATGAAGACTTTCGCACTTCCTCTACGAACGATCGCAATGTAACGGAGCCATAGAACCTTAGTGTAAACTAGAAGAGGGATGGCCCGAAAGCATCGATTTGCCGTGCGTTGACTCCATGCACTTGACTCTTTGCAATCGAACTGTATGCACTTGGAGAAATGTATGCCCTTACATGGTTGCATAGTCACTTGTACACTGCACTTGTATGCACTGGAACTGCATGGCATTCAAGTGTGTGGAGTTGAATGCCATGCACTTGTGGTCAACTCTGTAGACTTTTCATCGGCGTTGAAGACAACGCCGAGCTCCAGCGGCCGGTCGCGGCACGCACCTGCGCCGGTGCAAGGAAAGAAGCAAAAACCACACAAGCGCAAAAACAGACAAAAGAGGTGGAGTCTAAGTAAGGGCCGTGCATGTTGGTCGCCATGGAATACCTGCGCGCAGAAAACAGCTTTACTTGCAAGTCGGTCGACAAAGGTGCCAATCGTCCCGGGCGGTCCTAGCTGCATTTTCACACGCGCGTGCGTCGCAGTGTCCATACTAAACATAGCCCGGACGGCGTCCATGCGGTTCTGCAGCCGCGCTTTCGGGCCCTGCCTCCGCTGTGACGTCAAAACTCGCCCTGCCCCGCGGGCTGCGTCCCCACACTTTCGCAAATCCACAATACAATGCAACTTGCGCAATAGTGCGCCTGATGAAGCTGGCAATCGAAACAAAGAGGAGCTTGTTCATGCTCTGTTGCAGTGCATTGCGCACGCGCCGCTTGAAGCAAGCTCCAAGCAACGAAAATCATGACCCCTGACCTGCCTAGGAATGCAAACGATATGACACACCCTTGCAGAACAAGGAAACCAAGAATGTACAGGACAAAAGAGAGGCTTTCCCCACAACGCCTCCTGCTCGGAAATGCGCTGCGACAGAGCGTGCACAAGCTCCTCTTTGTTTCGCACGCGCCCGTCAGAGCGCCGCGGTATGCCTGCAGCGCCACCAAGCTCGCGCAGCTGCGTGACCGTCTTTTTCGCAAGCTCCTGGCGCAGCCAACCTGCACCTTTAGCACGGAAACCATGCCGCAGCTTCTGCATAGCATCCCCGCCGGTGTACGACATACCTGGACCTACAAAAAAAAGCGCACCGTCCAAGCTGGCACCAAGGTTTCATTCAACAGTGCCTCTCGGCCAAAGCTAGCACGCATGCATGTAGAGCAACGCATCATGAGGTGGTCAACACAGCCAAATGTCAAAGAGTGCATTCAGTTCTGCGTGCGCGCGCGGCACTGTCCATACAAAACAGAGGCCGCCGCGCCGTCGAACTTTCGCAAGACGGCGTCCGTCCTCTGGCAGGCGGCGAAGACTTGTGTTCAGCTGTCAAAAAAGGAAACTGGATGCAGAGACAGAAACTGCAGCACTCGTCTCATAAGAAAGACATTCATCACAGTAAATGTCCTAGCACTTCACTTTCTAGGGCGTTTCCTCAAGAGACTGGTGGCCGGGGGCTTCTGCTCTTGAAGTCCACCAACAGCTTTACCGGCTTGGTCCAGCCGAGCAGGGACTTCCGTATGTGCCCCATTGGCACAGGCCGCTTGAAGGCACGAACGTGCTGCACGTACCAACCGAACAGCGTCTGGGGCTCTGACGTCCCCCAATCATAGAATCTACCCTGCTCAATCAGGGTATCCGATCGATGAGCATCGAAGTGGTCGTAATTTTCAAACTCGATGCTGCCCGCAAAAACGATGACGCCGAGCACTTGCGCCTTCAACGGAGCGGGGGCCATCGCGATGTCCACCATGGCACCCTGCGTGGAGCCGCTGCCCAGAGTCTCGATGAGAAACAGCTGCTCGCCCGCAGAGAAGCAGCGGTACTTCCCCAGAGCGTACTTCCTGACTTCCATCGTCTTGCGACCTGCCATGAGGAGCCGACTCCACGGATACTGCACGTTCAGCCCGCAAAGACACAGTGTCTCGCTCGAACTCACCACGCCAGCTGGAACCTTCAGCGCGGCAGCTCGCGCAGCAGCCTCACCCACTGTGGTAGAGTCACGAATGAAGTTCAAGTCTGCCATCGCTTTCTTCTTGGACTCGCGCAGCGGGCCGATGATATTCTGGACATCATCGCACAGGACTGCTACCACGATGGCCCAAGGGCCGCGACTTCGTGCCGCGCCACGACATGTTGAACCGTGAAGAAGCTGCAAGTATAAGTGCAGAGACACATCATGAGGTGGTTAACACAGCAAAACGTCCAAGCGTGAATTCAGTTCTACGCATGCGGCACACGCAGACAGCGCAGGATGCCTTCTCGTGTTTCTTGATGTCGTAACAGCACCTACACGCTGCAACAGCACAAACAACAGACATACAGCACACGAACACGAGCACATAGACACAGTGCGGGATGCCTTCTCCCCTTCATTGACGTCTTCGCGCCCCATGACATCCAGATGGGACATCGCCCAAACATGTGACATTTGACAGCAACCGCTGATCACTTCCCACAGAGAGACGGGTCTGAGCGCAGGACTGGCTGCCTTCCCTCCAAAACGAGATCACTTTTTTCCCGGTCCGCTGCATGGCATTCACATTCGAGTCCCACGATATTTCCCAGGTTTTCGACCCGGAATTTGAGTCCCACGATATTTGCGAGGCTTTCGACGCCCCGGAATGCGAGTCCCACGATGTTTGCGAGAGGTTTTTGATGCCCCGGACACGCGGAGCTTCCGTGGCTGGAAAGTCGACTTTTGTAGTACAGACGTATAGTACGCCGGGGACACCCGGAGCTTCCGTGGCTGGAAAGTCGACTTTTGTAGTACAAACGTAGTACGCCACGGACACGCGGAGCTTCCGTGGCTGGGAAAGTCGACTTTTTGTAGTACAAACGTAGTACGCCGCGGACACGCGGAGCTTCCGTGGCTGGAAAGTCGACTTTTGTAGTACAGACGTATAGTACGCCGGGGACACCCGGAGCTTCCGTGGCTGGAAAGTCGACTTTTTGTAGTACAAACGCAGTACGCCGCGGACACGCGGAGCTTCCGTGGCTGGAAAGTCGACTTTTTGTAGTACAGACGTGCAGTACGCCGGGGACACCCGGAGCTTCCGTGGCTGGAAAGTCGACTTTTGTAGTACAAACGTAGCACGGACACGCAGAGCTTCCGTGGCTGGAAAATCGATTTTTGTAGTACAAACGTAGTACGCCGGGGACATCCGGAGCTTCCGTGGCTGGAAAGTCGACTTTTCTAGTACAAACGTAGGACGCCGCGGACACGCGGAGCTTCCGTGGCTGGAAAGTCGACTTTTTGTAGTACAGACGTAGTACGCCGCGGACGCCCTGGGCGTCTGAAGACACCGCACACAGCATGGTAACGGACTGGACGCCCGAAAAACACCGCAAATAGCATGGTAGCGGACATCTGGGCGCATGAAAACACCGCAAATAGCATGGTAACGGACATCTGGGCGCATGAAAACACCGCACATATCATGGTAACGGACATCTGGGCGCTTGAAAAACACCGCAAATAGCATGGTAACGGACATCTGGGTGCTTGAAAACACCGCAAATAGCATGGTAACAGACATCTGGGCGCTTGAAAACACCGCAAATAGCACGGTGACGGACGTCTGGGCGCTCGAAAACACCGCAAGTAGCACGGTAACGGACATCTGGGCGCTTGAAAACACCGCAAATAGCATGGTAACGGACATCTGGGCGCTTGAAAAACACCGCAAATAGCATGGTAACGGAGTTCCGCGCGTGAAGACACGGGAAAGTTTTTGTCTTTTCTCGTCGACAACCTCGCAAATATCGTGGGACTCGAGTTCCGGGCTCGAATTCCTCGAAAACCTCGCAAATATCGTGGGACTCGAATTCCGGGATGTCGAAACCCTCCCAAATATCGTGGGACTCGAATTCCGCGGCGTACTACGTTTGTACTACAAAAGTCGACTTTCGACTTTCCAGCCACGGAAGCTCCGCGTGTCCGCGGCGTACTACGTTTGTTCTGCAAAAGTCGATTTCCAGTCCGGAAGTCCCCGGCGTGCTACCTCTGTACCACACAAGTCAAAAAAACGCAAAACACTACGGTTTTCGCACCGCAACCACGCGAAAACCCGCAGAGGGGTTACGTTTGCAAGAAATGCAAAAACACGACGGTTTTGGCACCGCGCCAACGCCGAAACCCGCAGAGGGGTCACTTTTGTATGTTACAAAACGCAAAAACACGACGGTTTTGGCACCGCGCCAACGCCGAAACCCGCAGAGGGTTGTCTGCGGCCACGGAAAAAAGTACCAAAAACGACGGTTTTCGCACCGCGACCCGGCGATTACCCGCAGAGGGTTGTCCGCGGACCTAAAGAAAAGTGAAAAAAGACGGTTTTAGCACTGCGACCACGCGGAAAGAGGGGTCGTTTGTGAGGCCGGGTGGAGGCGCGCTAAAGTGCAATTAAAAAACCTTCAGCAAGTTCTCTTTCTACCCTGCCCATGCGACTACTCTGGAAGCGCCCCCACTGACATGTGCTGCAGTGGTCCCTTGTCAATGCGAAACCTGTGTCAGCTCACCAAGTGCTCCACCGTCGGTCGGCTACGGGCTCAAACTGTACGATGCTCTTCACCGCCCATGTCTGTGCTATCTACTTCACTCTATGTAATTCACTCTGTGCACTTCACTCTATGCACTTCACTCTATGCAATTCACACTATGCATCACTCTATGAACTTCACTCCATGCACACTTCACTCTATGCACTCAACTCTATGCACTTCACTCTATGCACTTCACTCTATGCACTTCACTCCATGCACTTCACTCTATGTTGTTGGGTCAGAGGGCTCCGCACGGAAGAACCCTTCAACAAGGCCGATGAAACCCAGCAACCTTGTCGTCCAAGCCTTTGCTTCTAATCTAGCTCCACGTCCATCCCAGCACCACCCATCACAAGCTCTTCATTTCATGCGGTCAATGATGGGCGTCAACCATTTGCGAAAATTCCCAAACAAGTCTCACTGTGAAAGTTCCTGTCTAAGGACATGTTAACTTTGTTGTCCTGCATGCTGGCTCAGAGTTGTGTGTGTGTAGTTGGAGGAACTCCGTAGTTGTGCCTTGGAGGCTCGACGGGAGTGCTGCTTTAAGTGGAAAGCCTTTTGAATTGCTTGAGTTGTAGGGATGTGTGTCTGAAAGCTGTAGGAGTGACTGTGCACGTTTTTGCTTGCTTTAGGTGTAGTTGGGTAGGTCCCGAGAACTCCCACTGACGTTTGAGTTTGTTTTGTGGCTGTGGAGAACACGTGGCAGAGCAGAGTTTTCACCTGTGTGTAAAGAGTTCCACTGACGAAGCCTCCGGCTTATGACTTTGGCTCAAGTCGTGAGAAAAGAGGGTTCAGCGCGCTGCTGCTGTGTTTTCACATGGTAGCGGAGCGTGTGTAGCACGCTCGTAGAAACTAGAAGCCATGGCTGACCCCGGGCTGTCGACCCCTGTGCCTGAAGACGAAGACGACGAAGCTTTGTTTGGCCCCGGTGGTGCCCAGGACGGGCAACAACCGCCAACACAACCCCCTGGAGCTTCTGCTCCAGCGGGAGGACCCTCCACGGTCGTCGGACTTGACCCTCAACTCCAGCAGATGATGGTCCAGATGATGCAGAGTCAGCAAATGATGATGCAGAATCAGCAACAGACACTTCAAGTTCTGGTGGCAAAGATGGAGGCCGACGAGAGAAGGAGACGTGAGCAGGAAGCATTGTCGGCAGCTGTGAGCAACCCATTTGGGGGTGCTTCAAGTGCAGCAGCTGCTGGAAGTCCTACGGCAAAGGCTTCTTCTCCTCCACCGGCGCCATCACAGAACCTGCATGTTGGAAGTAACCGTGCAGAGAAGTATCTGCCAGCATTGCCGCTCATCGATAATGTTTCGATGGGAAAAGGGCGTGTGAGAGAGCTGGAGGAGTACCATCGGTGGTGCGAGGTGCTTGCTTCCTGGCTGGCGTTGATAGACGACAACTATGTCAATGAGTTGCGCCAGGCAATGACGCATGACCGTGAAATCAAGCAGTCTGACATGGCAGTTCCGGTAGCATCGCGTTCGGCAAGGTTGTTTTACTACCTGCAACAAAGTCTGCAGAAGTTCGAACGTGGGATGGAACTGGTGAGAAGCACGTCGATGCGTCAAGGACAAGCTGCTTGTGGTTATGAGGTGATGCGTCAAATGCACCAGACCTTCAGCATTGTCTCTCGCATGGAGGCCATTGCTGTGAGAGATGAAGCCCTTCGCCTAACTTCGAAGGCGAGTTCGTACAAGCGACCGCTTGACTGCGTCCGCTTCCTTGAGGACGAGCTTGGGAAGGTAGACCAGAAGCTGCATCGGTTCCCTGAACTGAGGCTTGGAGCATCTGATCGTTCAACCCTTCTTCTTCAATCTGTCAGCCCAGAGTGTAGGCATTACGTTGTCCTGCATGGGAAATCTGGGAGCTGGGAGGAACTGGTTGAAAGCATCCGGTTCTACGAGGAGCAAACCCGATTGTGTGATGCTGGTTCGCTGAATGCAGTTGGGGAGCGCGGCCTCTGCTGGAGCTGTGGCAAATCAGGCCATATGAGTTGGCAGTGCCCCGACAAGAGCTCTGGAAAAGGGAAGAAGAGGGATGAACCGAAAGGTGGAAAGCCTTCTGGTTCCAAGAATCGAGAGAAGAGCCCTAAAGGGAAGGGCAAAGGCAAAGGGAAGACAGACAAAGGAAAGGGTGGAAAGCCCAAGGGAAAGCCAAAGAACAAAGGAAAGCCCAAGGGCCGAGCTGTGGAAGACGAGCAGTCTGATCAGGTGATGGCAATGCGGTCTCATCATCTGAGTGGCTTGGGTCCGGGGACAAGAACTAATGAGCCCAATGAAGCTGAGCCCCCTCGTCTCACCATGACGAACGGAGAGATCGAGAGACTGAACCAGTCATCCTCTAGGAATAGCTCTTTCGCATGGCTCATTGATAGTGGAGCCACCTGCCACGTGTTGTCAGAGAGTGCGTTGGGTTTTTACGAAGTCGTCAAGGAGCATTCGGGACCTCTTCCTGTGCTCATGAGTGCTAGCGATACG